ATTTTCACATCTCTACGCCTCCTCTCAAGCTTAGATTCATCAATGGATTGAGCATACAAAATTTAGCCTAGATATACTCATGTTATCATAGAGCATTTTCGTATGACACTCTTCCTTCACTAGATCGAAAACACAATTAAAAATCTACTCATCTCATTTCTAGGATTAGAAACCAAAGATGGAGAATATTTAGGCAGCAAGGTAAATTTCAAGGAATACTCCTCCAAACTCATATTACCTTGCCTAAGATTTATAAACTTCTCAGTCTTAACCTCCCTGTTGTCACGGGGAAAGTACTTCTATAAGAATGCTTCCTTAAACTCTTCCAACTCTATAGGACCCAATTCAATATGCTTATTGTCCTTCCATTGTGTGTACCACACTTGAGCAACCTCTTTAAATTGGTATGAAGCATACTCCGCCTTCTCCCCATAATACACACCCATAGCATGAACTATCTTATAAAATTCTTGGGTATCCTCTCCCACTTTAGTGCCAAGAAAAGTAGGAGGATTCATTATCACAAAGTTCCTCAACTTAGAGGTCATAGTACTCTCAAGAGCATTCACCCTAGGCCTCTCATCTCTATTTTCTTGAGTCGTAATGGCTCGGGCTAAGGTAAGAAGTGACCCTCTAACCTCCTCATTAGACATGTCTAGGGAACCACCGGAACCTTATTTACTTGATCAACAATAGGAACTTTTTAACCTTGAGGTACTTGATCGGGGAAGAACTCCCTCATTCACTACTTCCTCATCCACTCTTTTTTCTGGCATCGTTTTTGTATTCATATCCTATAAACACGAGAGAATAGATTAGGATTAGACACTTATAGAAATCAACTCTATGGCACGACTTCAAGAGTTATAAAGAAAGTGAAACTTCTATCATCCTATAGCCTTCCGTTCATATATGTGTCGCGACTCACATCGATGAACAAGGTTATACTAGAGGTGGCCTCATGAGCCTTTGAATCCTAAAGACCATTTCATAACCTTATGCTCTGATACAAAGTTTGTCATGACCCGAGAGCACCATGTTCTCGTAATACGACGTATTAGACCTCTCATTATGTCTTATACAATCCCTTAGCATTCATTCATCGCATTTCCATAAAATGGTGTGGAAATAAAAACCGCTTTAATGAAATCATAAGGCCTAGGAGCCAACACTTTTATATAAAAAAAGTATTTATAAGAAAAGGAATACTAGTCTCGTATTGGTCAACATAGACCAAAACTTAAAGAATCTCAAAATAGGGACACGATCCTTACATTGAAAGAAAAGTTCAATGTCTTATACATTGTCTAAATGAACCAGAAACTAGTATAAGAATTCTTATCCTCGGCATATGAGGACATACCCAAATCGTTAGAGAATATCGAAGTCCCAAGATTTAACTCTAAGGATCACCTCACTTGCGAACACCTACACTTTGTAAAAAATAGAAAAAAATATGGAATTAGTACAATCAATCACCAAGTATGATGACTATGCAAAAATCATGCAGAAAAGGTTATTTTAATTGAATTATGCTTTTCATGGTATTTTGAAATAGTCTCATAAACCAATTATAAAAGACATCATATAATTCAATCATCAACATACGAGATCATACTCCACAATTCACAATATATGACCATAATAATTAAGTAACCCATTTAAATATTTAAACTCTCTACATAAGGTTGTCCTAAGACCCACCTAAGTAATACATGAAGCGACCACTCATACAACCCCTTCACACAAACCTAGATGATCCACAAGACTACCCTAAGTAAGGATATTTCCTTTCCAACACGACACTACAAGCCAACATTCATTACTAGAGATACTAAGGGAAACATTCATCCATTTAAGGGAATTCACATAATGGTCTTGAAAGACCTAAGGAACCCACTCTAGTACCTTTAAAACCTACTCGTTCCATATCTAGATAACATCCCATTCTACTACTTACATGTTGTAGAACCTATCCAATAGCTAAAGTGTACATCCCACATAATGAGAATATGTACTACTCGACATACACCACACTAGTTAGGTATGGAATCTGGTGCATAAGACCCCACACCTTGGTAGGTGTTCTACTTGACAAAGGTAGAACTAGGACACATCCCATGTAAGCACACGGTTTAAGGGATATTAACAAGAATTTTTGTACTATCATACTTCAAGCAGTGCTTCAACCTTAAGCATATCCATTTGATGTTTTGCCTTGATTCTCATAGAGTAAGTTCATTCACATAAGAGTACTATACAAGGTACCATCCTTAAACCTTACCAACTCATAATACCACTACTAAGAAGGTATCCACAGGGTCCACCGTTTAAGGTTCATTAGGATAGCTCATTTATGAAACGGGTTCCATGCTAGGTCTATCTGATGCACTTAATTACACGCCCTCTTTTCATATTCAAGGTTTGCATGTTCACTCAAGTACCTAGACTCGTCAAGAAGGAGCACTATTCTTATGTTTACCAGATCAACACATACTCTAGAATACCTCATTTATCATTCATGTATCAAGTAGGGACAACTAAGTCTATTTAATCAAGACACCATATCAACAAATACAGACTCTTCATAGTCTATCATCACCACATACAAACATTTAGAGTAATATGCTTTCATTCAAACTATCACATATCTTCATACAAGTTCATCTTAACATCATATATGAACTTCACAATATCCCTATCTCCTACACAACGACATAACCAAACTTCAATTTACATCATAGATCCATCAATATCACAATAATAATAATAAGAAAAAGAAGTAAGCACCTCCACTGGAAGTGTATATAACCATAAAAAACAATCCTAATATACTAAGAAATTGAATTAACTTACCATTCTCAAATGTCACAATTCACGATTATTCATCTTCCATTCATAACAAGAGAACTTGCCCATCCTTATGCCCATAAGGCCAAGATCACAAACTAATTCTTACATCCACAATTCATCATATATAGATATAGATAACAACAGGATCAACACTATGAAGCAATCTAAACGCAATTCTATCCATAGACAATAACAATTATTAAACCAATTTTGCAAGCCAAAATTAAGGAATTAGAGGGATCATGGATTTATTCACTTTAAATACTCAATTAAACCATCATTTAATCATAAAACTTTGTTTGAAACCATTTAATGATAGAATCCACGATTTTGAGAAAAAATTGGGGTTTTGATCAACTTTTGTGAACTTGAAAACTATTTGAGAATTGGCTATAGAGAGGAATATAACTCTAGACAAAGAGTCACCATACCTTAGTATTGAGAAGCCCATTAGAAGCCCATGAAATTGAAGAATAAATCAATGGAAACCTTCGATCCAAGCTCCAGTTTGACTGTTAGCTTCCATGGAGTTTTGAGAGAACTTTTTGGAGGAAAGAGTTTTGAGTTTTGAAGAATGAAGTCTAATACTAGGTTTTAGAGTTTAATATAACTTAAAATACCCTAAATATCCTAAACTAACTATCCCCCAATTCATTTATCCAAGGGTGGAATTTACCAACCACCCTTGGCTTGGCTGAAACATTAGCAGAATCGCAGATGCCCATTGACGGGCACCATTGACAGACCATCAATGGATTGACGGGCTGTCCTGGTCATCTATAAATGGTGACTATGAATGTTCAAATGGATCTAAGGTCCAAAATACTAAGTGTCAACCTACGGAATCCATTGATGCACCATCAATGGGAAGATGGTTTGTCGAATGGATCCGTCAATAGTAAGACCTGATAGCTTCTTGGCCAACAGATAGGGTCCTCCTCAAGGGACTCTTGTGGGTCTTTGAGGAGTCGTACCCATATTTTTTTACCCTAATCACGAACATTTAGATGCTAGGATCACCTCCCATCATTTTAGTCTCTAAACAACACACCAAAAATGAACAACACACAAGGACACGCTAGCATACAAAAGACTAGTTTTTGAGCGTCTTGGTCGTTCGTTGATGTTTCACCTCAAAACCACTCAAACCAAACCTTCGAAGCTATTTCTCATTAATTTAGCAAGTTATTAACTCAAGAAACTCTTGTGAGTTTCTAGTTCATGCTAGTTCATTTTGAGGGCCGTTACAATGGTGGTCCAATTTGTGTCTAGATTCTATCTTTTTTCACTCTCTTAACCTTTCTTGCTAAGTCAACTTACTATGCCTACTAAGTACCTTTGCTTTGGTACTTATGTTACACACTATTTTCTTGATGCAAGTCCTAATACCAGTTACCAACGGTGGTCCTTCGTGCAATCATTTGTAGCTTGTGGATATGGAAGATTAGGATGAGTACTTGACGTCTTAGACCAACGTATTTCTTCTGTATATATGTTAGCTAGTCTTTTGCCTTTGAGATGGATTGGTATGGTTCACTTTTGGAACTTGTACTCGTTCATATTAAACATCTTGGTCTTTGGGAATTCCATGCTATGGGAAGGCTACCACTGTAGATAGTTTTGGTTTGTTGGTATTATCTTCTACTTAGTTCTACCATTGTACTAATTACTTGTTGTTTTGGGTAAGGGTTGACTTACCTAATGGTTGGCTATAGTAAGTTCTATATTGACTTAGGGAGTCACGTCGTGACAAATAGACTTGTGGGAATAGGTGTGAACAACAGTTTTGAATATTGTATATTGATTTCGTATTTTTATTATTATTTTTAATGATTAGGATTGTAAGAATAATGTTGCGTTTTTTTTTTGTAGTTCTCTTAATGATTTCTCTTTTTTTAGTATTTCATATAAATTTTTTTTTGTTGACGTAGGTTAATATTTTCTTTTGGTTCAAAAGAGTAACTTTGTCTTTGTTGTATGTTATCTAAGTATTGACTAACCATTTTGCTCTTTGAAATCAATTATATGTTTGGATAAATATATATTGACATGTTATTATTGGAACAAGTTGACTAGTTAGGTAATATAACATAATGATAATGTAATTTTAAGAGTTTAAACATCGAGTGTTAGAATATCATGTAAAAAGTAGTAGTAAATGTAATGCGACAAGGAGAAGGGAAATAAAAGACATCCATCCTCCACAAAACTCATCTTTTGATGTTCACAAGCGAGAGTTGAAGGTGCAAATTGTTGATATTATATGAAGGGCAAAAGGTGAAGAAAGAATAATGAAGGTGAAGGGAATACTTGGAAATCAAGATTTGTGAGTGTAATCGCTCATAGTCACTATGCGTGGTTTCAAACTGAAAGATCGTTGTAAGACTACTCAAGTCCATGCTTACAACGCTAACCCTTTTCCTACTATTTCCCCAACTTCTTCCAAGCTCCAATACCCTACAATCGACTCCATTTTGTCTGAATCTCCTTTTCTTCCCTATGGCCTTCCAAAAACACATTCTTTTGAGCCCCCACTTGACCTTTCTCTCAAATCTCTTGATTTCGTTCAATCCTTAGCTCACCTTTACCGCAAACTTCAGATGACACAAGATTTCGATAAATCTTTGCTTCATTTAGAACAATATGCTCTGTTGTACACCCTTGGTGATCCAAAATTGCTACGTAGGTGTCTTCAATCTGCTCGTCAACATGCTGTTGACGTCCATTCCAAGGTCGTGTTGTCTGCTTGGTTGAGGTTTGAGAGGAGAGAGGATGAATTGGTAGGATCATCACCTTTCGATTGTATTGGAAGAGTACTTGAATGCCCCAAAACTGCTTTGCTACACGGCTATGATCCCAAATCAGTTTTTGATCATTGCCAATCTCATGGGCCCCTCCAACCACCACCTAATCAGATCTCAGATGCCAATAATTTCCTCACCTCAGAAAACGATGGGGGCATAGTTCACTTCTGCATACAAAATCAGGAGGTCAACTGTATTCGAGGTAGAATTGCAGCTCTCTCTGCTCCATTAAAATCAATGTTGTATGGTGATTTCATTGAGTCTGAGAAGGAAACAATTGATTTTACACACATTGGCATATCTGTCGATGGAATGAGAGCTGTAGATTCCTTTAGTAGGACTAGAAGATTTGATTCCTACCCACCGAACATACTTCTCGAGCTTCTTTCATTTGCAAACAGATTCTGTTGTGAGGAACTCAAGTCTGCTAGTGATTCATACTTGGCTTCTTTGGTTTCTGATATTGATGAGGCATTCATTCTAATTGATTATGCTCTGGATGAGAGAGCACCTCTGCTTGTGGCGTCTTGCTTGCAGCTAATGCTAAGAGAGCTTCCCGGTTATTTGTATAATCCAAAAGTTCTCTGCACATTTTGTAGCTCTGAGGCTAGGGAGAAACTTGCCACAGTTGGGCAAGCTTCTTTCCTCTTATATTATTTCCTTAGCCAGGTAGCAATAGAAGATAACATGATGTCCAAAGTTACGCTTATGTTGTTGGAGAGATTGAAGGAGTGTGCCACTGAAACATGGCAAAAGGCACTATCTATGCATCAACTTGGATGTGTGTTGCTTGAAAGAAAGGATTACAAAGAAGCTCAACATTATTTTGAGATGGCAATTGAGGCTGGCCATGTTTATTCAGTAGTAGGTGTTGCACGGACTAAATTCAAGCAAGGGCAGAGGTTTTTGGCTTTTGAGCTAATTAATGGTATTATTTCAGAGTATACACCTACGGGGTGGATGTACCAAGAGAGGTCTTTGTACAGCTTAGGCAAACAAAAGATTTTGGATGTTAATGATGCCAGCAGATTGGATCCCGCCCTTCCTTTTCCGTACAAATACAGAGCCATTGTGATGGTCGAAGAGGACCAGGTTGAGGCTGCTATTGTGGAGATAAATCGAATTATTGGTTTTAAGGTCTCTCCAGACTGCCTTGAACTGCGGGCTTGGTGTTTTATTGCACTTGAGGATTATCAATCTGCTATAAGAGATATCCGAGCATTGTTGACTCTAGAGCCAAACTATATGATGTTTCATGGGAAAATGAGGACTGACCACCTGGTTGAGCTTCTCAGTCTGCACGTCCAGCCGTGGAGCCCTGCAGATTGCTGGATGCAACTCTATGATCGATGGTCATCTGTTGATGATATTGGTTCACTGGCTGTTATACACCAGATGCTCATAAATGATCCTGGGAGGAGCATTCTGCGATTCAGACAATCTCTGCTCCTATTACGGTAGTTTTTCTTTTGATTTTTGCTGCAAGTTTAAGCTGTATGCACAATTCCTACCTTCTTTAGATCCTGATATCCGTTTCCTTCATTTTTGGGGAATGGGAGCAAAAACGAAAAAAGGGAAAGACTTATCAATGTGATGAGAGATGAACTTTTTGTGGCGATCTATTGATCATAAGCTTGTTGTCTCATGTGGTTTGTATGCTTAAACAACATTACTATTGATTGTAGCACATTAAGCCCGGGTTTTAAGTTATAAGATCGTGTAGTATAAGTTGAAATTGATAACTTACGAAGCAACTTTATCCTAACTATTTTATTTGGATTGAAACGACAAATGTGAATGACATATAAATATATTTTGGAAAAAAATGGCAATATAGGTCATTCATAGACAGAAAAGCCTTATCATGGGTAACATTCCATGCTATCGATTTTCATAATGATTTGATGGAAACGCATCCTATAGCTTATGTTTACCTAACACACTTTACATGCAGGTTAAATTGTCAAAAAGCTGCAATGCGCAGTTTGCGCCTGGCCTGGAATCATTCCACCTCCAAATATGAAAGGCTTGTGTACGAAGGATGGATTTTATATGACACTGGACATCGTGAAGAAGCACTTGCCAAGGCTGAGGAATCCATTTCTCTCCAAAGGTCATTCGAAGCCTTTTTCCTTAAAGCGTATGCTCTAGCTGATGCAACTCTGGATTCTGAATCTTCATCTTATGTCATCCAACTGTTGGAGGAAGCACTAAAATGTCCTTCAGATGGTCTTCGCAAGGGACAAGTGGGTCATTTGTCCAAACTAGTTCTCTTGGTGTTTCTGTAAATGAATTTATTCATGTTATATTTTCTTGGCAGGCATTAAATAATCTGGGGAGTATTTACGTGGATTGCAATAAGCTGGACCTTGCTGCAGACTGCTATGTCAGGGCCCTTGAGATAAAACATACAAGAGCTCATCAAGGGTTAGCTCGTGTATATCATCTAAAAGGTGATCGGAAGTCTGCTTATGAGGAAATGACTAAGCTGATAGACAAGGCTCAGAACAAGGCATCAGCTTATGAAAAACGGTCAGAGTATTGTGATCGTGACATGGCAAATGGTGATCTCAGCATGGCCTCACTATTGGATCCTTTAAGGACTTACCCTTATAGATACAGGGCTGCAGGTACATTATCACTTTCAATAGGTTTGCCACCCTTGCTTGTTACTAACTTCTTTGTTCAGGAAGAGATTGCTAAAATTCTGACTAACAACATGACTGTAGGATGACAAATAAAACTTGTTATATGAATTTGAAGTGAAGTTCATCTGTGATTATATTTGAGGGGAATATTTTCTTAGTTTCTAGTGCTAGTTGTGTTAAAGATTCCTGGTGTAACCTAAAGAAGTTTCACAAATAGGAAGCAATATTTCGCTTGTATGACTGGGCTTGAATGGATGAATGATCTTATTGAAAATGCAACTCAGTTTTTGAATGATTATTAGTGTTGATAAAGGATGAATACATGTCCGTAGGGGTGGGAATGGGGCGGGGCAGGTTTCGGGCTATGCGGTCCGGAGCGGGTTTAAGGATATGTGGGGGCGGGGGCAGGGAAGGAGGGCGGGGCAGGTTAAAAGTATATTTTTAAAAAATTAATGAGGGCCGGGTTGCGGGTCTATGTGGGGTCAAACAAAAGAAGTTTTAAAAAATAGTATTTCTAAAAGCTTGCTTAATACTAACTACAATGTTTGGAAAGAAATTGTATTCTGTTATTTCGAATTAACAAAAAGTTAAATTAACTACTCATTATTGTAAGGAGAAATGACTAGCACTGTGTTCTGCTATTTGAAATAGGTAAATAATATTGTATTCTGCTTCTGCTATACATGTAAAAATAGGAAATAAATTCAATAACTAAAAACTATCCCTAATCCTATTTTGGAGGAGAAGAAAATTATGCTGGATGGGGGGAGATTTATGCCCAACCCCCACCTCGTCCTATTGCCATCCCTACATGTCCGAACTGCCAAGAAAAAAGTTCAACCAAAAATTGATATAGAATCACTTGAAAGAGCCTTTATTTAGGAGAATACCGTCTCTTTTCTTCTTCTAGGATTGCGATTACTATCACTCTTATAATTCAAATATGGTCTTCTAACACATTTGCCATGGTCAGTGATCTTCGTTTTTTCCATGTCTCAGCATCGTCTAATAGCATTGTTTAACAGTAAAATTCCTATTCTTGCTGCCAATCTAAAGTATAGTCTTTCACATCTTCATCTAATACCACAATTTCCAGTTTCTGCATCAAAAAGTTCAAATCTTCTCTTTCTAAATCATTTGAATCCCTTCTAAACAGCAGTTTGTGTGGGGACCAATATAGATTGAAATAATAAAGTAAAAATAGAAGGACAAAGATAAGGAATAAAAATGATCGGAGTATGAAAGCATGCGCCTACCATTTCTGTCAGAAGAGTAATTGCAACGTAGCAATTTGTGTGCGTCAGAATTAATTCATTCTGATTGGTAAAAACAACAGCTCCTCTTGCTATTAAATTTAGTAGGATTTGTTGGTCTTTCAGTTGAAGTACTCCAAAAAATAAATTAATAAGAGAGCTATAAGGAGGAGATAGAGTAATCCACAAGTTCTTTTAAGTCTGTGAGAAAATAGAGTGGAAGTAACATTGTAGTGAGTTGTGCTTTTTTTTTCCATTAAGGTGTAGTAATCTCTTTATACTGCCAAGTTGTTAAACTGTTGTTGTAATTATACTTTGTTTAGATATATCTTTTACCCCGTTAAAAGATATGTTGTAGTTATTACTTTCTTGTTTTTGCTATTAGCGTAGACATAATTCCTGGGTGGCATTATTATTTTCAACAATGTGGTATCAGAGCCATGACAAATAATTGTCCATTGTCTTTTCAGTACCCCGTCTCACAAAAGAATATTATGAAAATTTTTTTCTATGAATAAAAGTCATTCTTGCTCCTACGATGCTTACGAAATTGTAGACAATGGGTGCAAAAAACCCACTAATGAGGAAAGTCTGTCTCATCATAAAAAAGATGTACACCTCAGAATTGCAGGATTTTGGGCCCATTAGTCTGATTGGCAGTGTCTATAAATCATATCCAAGATCCTAATAGAAAGGCTTAAGAAAATAATGTCTAAGTTGATGGATAAACATCAAATAACTTTCGTTGAGGGTAGGCAGATCATAAATGCCATTCTTATTGCAAATGAATGTTTGGATGTGAGAAACTCAAATAAAGTCCCTTGGGATATCACTCACACCAATCTAGTTCTTATTTTCAAGAAGGAAAAGGTTAGTAACTTCACTAACCTTAGGCCGATTAGTCTAAGTACTTTTGCCAACGGGATCATATCCGGAATGCTACATGAAAGGATGATGGCAGTTCTACCTTGGTTGATCTCGTCAAACCAGTCTTGCCTGCACTACCTCTCCACTGAAATGTTATGTAGCTGCTTCAATAAACCTTTTAACTTAATTAAAAAAATTGCAATCAATAGTCTCTCTTTCACTGCCCCACATAATTTCATTGACGGAAAGTCGAAAACTATCACATTTGGTCGGTGAGAATGAAATCATCTTTTGAAACCTTATGTGTTTTGGAATGTCGTGATGGAAAAAAATTTCTTGCAACAACTCCTTGCTAATCCTATAATTTTCTAGAATAAAACACTTCCAAAAGAGCTTTCAAACAAGACAAGATTATTCAAAGTCTTTTTATATGCAAAACCAAAAGTAGAAAAAGAAAGAAGAAGAGAAAAATCAATTTAAAAGATTGTGCAAGTTCAAAATAATTAAAAGAATTCAGTACCAAATCAAGGAGGAACATATTTTTATTAAATTGCGGCAACTAAAGCAAAAGAGGAATGTTTAATTTGCTTTTAGCTACCGCAGTAAATTTTAGCAACTAAAGCAAAAGAGGAATGTTTAATTTGCTTTTAGCTACTGCAGTAAATTTGTAGCATTTTAAGTTACCTAGATTTAGGTTGAATTTGAATTTTAAATTTTTGTTATCTTGTTTTAGTTGTTGAAACTTTTTAGCTTTTTTTAATTTTTTTTAATGTGGATTTTCTGCAGACGGTTTTCAAATGGCTATTTAAAGCCCTATTATTCTTGATAAAAATATTGAGAGATATCTCAATTAATACTTTTTGCTGCCACATCTTCTAAAAAACAAACAATTATACTTACAAAGAAGATTGGGTTTCCAATCCTTAGTAGATGTATCGGAGGACTTTTTTTGCTAAACTATGGTTGAATTTTTAACATCCGCCTTCTCTCTATGGAGCACTTCTATATGAAACAAATACTGCTAGAAACTACATCCCGACCATTGCTGAAGAAACATGTGCCTCTCATGCGTAGATAAAGATGATCCTTGTCATGGATGAGGTTGAGCATAATACTTGGTGGCAAGTGAAATCAGCTACACCCAGTTTCTGGTTTGATAACTGGACCAAACAAGGGGCACTATACATTCTGGAAGAAAAGAATGCTGGGTAGGAAGAATTTGAGGTAAGGAGTATAATTTCTAATGTGGAGTTGAATAGGCAGAAGCTGCTAAATAACATTTCAGTGGAAATGACAGACCACATCATGGATAGCAGCAGTTCAACCCTGTCAATTCAAGGCCTGGTGGATACAGAACACAAAATTGTCTTTCACAATAAAAAATATGCCTGTGATTTGTTGAGGCATAAATAGCAAGCGAGGAGGGATTATGAGTTCATATGGGAAAAGGGCTTGCCGTTCAAAATTGATTTTTTCCTTTGGAGGGTATGGAGGAGAAAGTAGCTTCTGATGACAACCTAAAGATGATGAACATTTGTATTGCCTCTAGATGTCGGTGTTGTGATGCTCATGAGCAGTAAACAAAAATCCACCTATTTCCAAAAGCTCCCGTAGTCACTGGGCTTTGGAAGTAGTTTGCTTCTGGTGCATGTATATTTACAGAAGGGTCAGGGTTGCACCTCCAGAAACTCAAAATTAAGTGGTGGAAACTGCATGCTGCTCCAAATTGCAGACAATTTTCAAGGCTGTCCCAACAATCATCATGTGGATTTTATGGAAGAAGAGAAACACAATCAGGCATGGAGGAAATATCTACTTACGGTAGAATGGTACAGCGATACAACAAGCTTAAGATGCCATCCATAAACTAATCAGAGTCAACTACCCTTTGGTTTGCAGGGGTACCAATGGAATGGCCAAGGATACTGAACTACCCAAGCAGTTACAAACCTAAGTTGCACTAGATGCTGATTTGGTTGTAGACACCAGAAGGGTATGAAGTGAAGTGCAACACTGATGAGGCTAGCAAAGGCAATCCAGGTCAAGGTCCTATGGTTTCTCTCTAAGGAACAATATGGCTGATCTTATATATGCTCAAGCTGAGGACATTGGGGTTGCAATGAATATGGGTGATCTTATATATGCTCAAGCAGTGATTATGGCTAGCTTAGAGGCCATAATGTATTGCTCTACACATGGTGTAGGATGTTCTCTTTGAAACTGACTCTCTGAGTTTAAAGAACATATTACAGGACGTATGGAGAGTAACTTGGGGAATTGCAGAACAGGTGGAGGAAGTAAAAGAAATCATGGCCACTCTCAGTGCACGAATCAGACACGTTTAGAGGAGGAAACCAATTGGCAGATTTCCTAGCTAACACAACCATCAATCAACAAGGAATACAACATTAGCACACTTTTCAAGATCTACCAACCATAGGTACGAATATCTTGTTCACAGACAAAGTACAATTACCATCAATCAGGATAACAACTCGCAAACTAAACAGCTATAACACATACAAACAAGAAAAGAAGGAATAAAAAGAGCGAACAGAGTATTCAACCAGCACCTTTACAGAGTATTCCATAACTGTTCAGGAATTCCGCCTGCAGTTATTCTAGCAAGACTATTCTACTGTAGCTATAAAAAAGCAACTTAACCAAAATCAAAGGACTGCAGCTTTAAATTTGTTCTTGTAGTCAGAGTGCGACAGAAAAACCTACTGGGGCAGTGCAAGCATGGCTTCCACCACTCCCAGCTGATAAGGCACAGAGGAAACCCAGGTTAGTAGCTCAAAAATAAGGCTAACATAAAAAGAAAGGGCGGAAGGACACCTACATACTTATCTGCAGACCCCAGAAAACACCCTTTTATTGATCCATTTAGAAATGGACTCACCCCAACCTCTTATAGAAGACACAATAATGTAATGGGTTCAAACAACTAAAAACCGAAGGAACAAGGAGATGGAAACTTATTTTGGAACAGTGAAGGCTCGATGCAAAGCTTAATACCAGAGTCACCATCAGGCCCCAGCTGGAAGATTACCCAGAAAAGAAAATGCAGGCTTCCGGTAGCATTTTCTGAAACTCACTCAATGCCATTAGACGATTTTAGGTCCAACTCCTGAGATCGACAATCCCATTTGTAGAATATTAAGGGCCAGGTCTATGCTTTGTACCTTGCGTTTCTTTTACTGCTTTTTTACTTTCAGACTTGTTTTGAGAACATTTGCCAGTTTGGTTGTTATTCTTGTCACTTTTATTAATAAAATCGGTCACTTACCACTGTGTAATTGAAAAAAGAGATTGCATTTTCTGAAAATAGGACAATCTCCTACATAACACTAGCCAAAATTCTCTTCCGGACTTTTTTACTGTGTCAATTTAATATGTTGGCATTTTTTCCTTGTAAATGATGATCAATTTTGCCTAGGGTTGAGAGCTTTTGGTTCAGTCTAATAGAACAGTGATGTAGATTCTTCTTCAGTACAGTAAATTTGATCTTGCATGGAGATTTATTGGCTGGTTAACACAATGTAATGTTTGTGTATATGTTTGATACTATTCGAATGAAGTTGCTGTTGTACATTTCCAAGTTCTTATTAACTGAGATGAAACTAGGAGGATATATCAAATTTCTTCCATACTGGTCCCCAGGAATGATTAGGTGTCAGCTGCAGGTTTAGCAACTTTATTTCCTTGTTAGTTATGAGCTTTCCTTGTTAGCCATGAGTTTTGCCTTGTTCATACTAAATTTAAATGTTGGATGCAACAGTACTCATGGATGACCAGAGGGAGACTGAAGCAGTGGAGGAGCTCACAAGAGCCATTTCTTTCAAACCTGACTTGCAAATGCTTAATCTTCGAGCAGCATTCCATGAGTCAATGACTGATTTCTCTCGTGCTCTCCTAGATAGTGAAGCAGCCCTCTGCTTGGATCCCAATCATAAGGACACCTTAGATCTCTATAGTCGCACACGTCTGAAAAACACTTGAAGTAAATTCAAGAAAAACAGCAACTGCTTCAGTAGATATATGGCATAACATTGATAACAGGGAAATCATTGAGGAATGCAGAAAACTTGGATTGGTGTACATATGATTGATGGACTGTCAAAAAGGTCGGTTGTTGAAGAAGCAAACTCAGATCATTTCAGAGTTAGCAAAATCAGCAGGCACAGTCACGCTCATACTTCTTTGAATTTTCAGTTTTTTTTTATCATAACATTATACAACCTTGAAAGAGGTTCAAAAATGTTACTTATGAAAGTTCAAGAGGAACTTTTCTTTCTCTGGTTCTGCTAAGTAATAAAGTTGCTGGAATGGGTACAAATTGTCTGATTGACTCTCTTGCTATTGTGAAATATTACAATTTGAGATTCCTTGTAATTAAGATAACAATAGACAAACATCCCTTGAAAATATTGGTTTTTGACGAGGTAATGAAGATAATCGTCTCCACAACTTTTATGCTCTAGCTGCAGTTAAGAAAGACAACCGAGAATAAGTAGGGGTGAGTATATCTACAGCAGCAACAAGGAAGTTAGAATATTATATATTGTATGTCCATAGTAAAAAAAGATTTTGAACAACTTAAAAGGATAAAATTCCACATTAATGCTAGTACATAGGCTCTTTTAATACTGAATTGAGGTATTTAAGCACAAAGAACTCGTTAAAATTTCAGCATATCAGTAACATAAACATCTCTATTTGTACAAGAAAAAGATAACTAGCAGCCTGTAACACTTGGAAAGTCCAAGACCTAATCTAGAGCCTCACATGACTGTCTAAGAGTTGTAACTTCGTTTTGATGTCAAAAACAACATTTATAACTCATGTAGGAAGTTTTAGAGTCAAGACGTCAAATAATGTCCATGACGTTCGGAGTCGAGTGAAAGAGGTGGTAGTGTTCCTTAGCATATTTCACGGGGTTTTAGGAGTTAGAAATTGATGAAAATTGGTGAAAAGGTGTCAAACTAGTGTTAGAACGTGTTTAGGGTTGAAATGTTTGGGTACGACTCCCCAAGGACCACATTAGGGATCCTTGGAGAGGACCTTTGCATTTGATGCCAAACTTGCCAAATGATGTAGTGTAGGCAGCAACACCTACGCTTGCCAAACGACGGGGCGTTGCTTGGGTGACGGGGCGTCGATGCCCCCGTCGATCAACACTCAAAATGCATCGTCTCTGACAGAAACAACGGTGTGCAGGACGGTGGGGGGCAAGGCCGTCGGCTGACCTACAGATCGTAGGTCGAGGTCTCGTAGGTCAGGCCTGCAATTTTTTCGTCAAGACTTAAGTGACTTCATTTAGTTTGTTAGGGGTTTAATTAGGGGTTAAGCGGTGGTTAATTAAGTCAGTTAAGTGACTATATAACCTACCCTAAGCCTAAACCCAACTTAACACCCCACAATACCCAAACCCAAATTGCTCTCTCTCCCAAAGAAGACATCATAGAAGACCAAAGTCTAAGGATTCTAGGGATTCAAGAAGATCACTTTTCACCATCGATCTTCAAAGAATATCAAGGTATGAGAACCTTTCACCTTTGGGATTCCATTTCCCAAAGGGTTCTTCCAAAATTGATTTTCAAAAAGATGATTTCATATGAGTTTCTTTCTAATCCGAAATCGATCTTCTAAATTGTATTTTTTATGGTTTCCTTTGATAATTATGATTAGATTATGATGTATCTTGTTCAATTATGCTAGTTCTTAATAAATTAACCTAGTATGTGGATTAGATCATGAATTAACTCAAATGCCCTAACCCTAGGTTATGAGCTCATGTTGAATTTATTAGTGTTGATGCAATTAACTTAGTTCTTGTGTTAATTACTATTGAATGATGTTATTACACCTATTGATGGATGAAATTGGAGGAGAATTGATATGACTTCGTGATATTGAACCTTTACATCAATTGTGATGGGTTGTACTTGGTGATGAAGTTCAATTGAAGTATATATTGTGATTGTATTAAGTAGGTGTTGATATGATGATGCAATTGAAATGTCTTGATTATGTGAAGTGTGAGAATATGTTTAAAATGTAATGATATAAAGTTGATTATGAATTACCTATGTGACATATTATGATATGATGATGATGATGTACTAATCTCATTTATGAGGGTCGTATTGAAAGGATGTTCTCATGCAATTCCTGATGAGCTAATAACTATGAATATACAAGGAGTTAGTCTCCTGTGGCCTAAACTAAGTTATGATTCTTAAAAGTTGACTTTAACATTTCAAAAAGGAACTCTAGCATAGCACCAAGTGAACTAGTAGTGAGGAGTGTCCTTTACGAATGTGCGAAGGTAGGTTCGCTATTGTACTCATGAGATTGGAGACTATAATGCAGTGTGCATAAAGAGGGTCCCAAGTATATCTCCTAGTTCTTGAACTATATTGCCCCCATAAAAATACTAGCTAGTGGATCTTCCTAGAATGCTATGTTCAGTTTTGGTACTACCTTCGCAAGTAGTCCACTTTCTTTCGGTGTAGGGTTTCATGACACCAAATTCCACATTTATCTCATGTGGTCTATGTCAGTTACGACAAGTATTCCCGAAAGTAAAACGAAGTAATAAGGTAGACATTAACTAGGATGACTTAAGGGGTTTAACTTAGTCTAGGTAGGGATAGGAGACTCTACCTATACATTGCACTAGTTGGCCTTAAAGAAAGTCCTAGAAGGTTGTTCTTATGTTTTATAAAGTAAATGCTATGCATATGATGACTTTACATGTTGATGATCCGATATGGTGTTAAATATGATGATGACTACTCTTAATGCTATGTTATGTGAGACTAGACTTTTCTTATGGTCCTTTGTTGGGTTTACTTGGTTGAGTAAGGTTATGGGGATTTACTTGGTGATTGCACTTGTGGATTTTATGGTGGGTTATGAGTAAGGTCTTGTATATTGTAACACTTCAAAAATCCAAGACGTGTTCTATAGCCTAACATAAGTTTCATAAGGTTTATACACAATTTTAAGGTCCATTGTAATGAATATAAGTCATTTAGGAAGTCTAGAAACTAAAATGTCCAAGAACGTTCATGACGTTCGAAAACTAGAGCTACTAGTGTGCCTTAGCCTATTTAACTAGCTTTTAGAAGTCGGAAAATGATGAAAATTGGTGGAAGGGTGTATAACATGTATTTAAGTTGATTCATAGTTGAGACATCCGTGCACGACTCCCCAAGGACCAACCAAGTTCCCTTGGGGAAAACCCGTGCATTTTGGGGTCAAAGATTGGCTGGGCAATGTGCACTCACAAGGGGAATCGACGGCGTAGGTTGATTGACGGGGCATCAATGCCATCCGTCGACCAACACTTATCCATTTTGGCTAATGTTCCATTTGGACCAGTCTCTGAATCAAATGATGGAGTGCAGCACAGAGGGGGAACAGTGACTGTCGACTCACAGACGGACTGTCGATCGGTGTCTCGTCTGTGAGGGCTGTGATTTTCTGCATGTTTTTAATTGGGTTAGTTTATTAATTAGGTGGTTAATTAATTAGTTTGGGGTTTATGGAGGTCTAGTTAAGTTAATTAATGACTTATATAAAGATTCTAACCTAACTATCCTAACCTAAACTCACATAATTTCCAAACCCAAATCTCTCTTCCTTCTCTCTTCTTTCTCTCTTTAGTGGAGAACATCATTGAAGACCAAACTAGGGGAGGGTTTAAGGGATGCAAAGAGTAAAGTTTCTCCATCAATATTCATCGATTAGTAAGGTATGAGATCTCTTTCACCTTTGAGACCTCTTTCCTCAAAGGGTTCCATCAAATTGATTTCAAAAGTTGGCTTTCAAGTGGGTTTTCATTCAATACGAAATTGATGTTGTGAATTGATTTTCTTATGATTTATTTTGGATATTATGAATATGTTAACATGTATTCTAACTTAATTATGATATATCTTGATGAATTGGTCTAGTTTGAAGAAGATAACCTTTACCCTTAACCGTAGGTTGTGATCTTGATGTGAATTGAGTAATGTTGGTTCAATTGAATTGGTGTTTGGTTGAATTTCTATCCTATGATGTTGTTGTATCAATCATGACTAAGTTAAGATGAATTTTAGTCCTATCATTCTAGTTCTTGAGAAGTTGATCTAGGTTATGAAGTATGTATTGAATTGACCTAAGTATCTTATCTTAAGTTATGAGCTAGTGATGGATTATGATGTAGTGATTCAATTAGCCTTGTTATCATGTTGGTTATGATTATATGATGACACTATACCCTAATTGGGTTGAATTAATGGGTTGATGGTAAGACATTGATGATGAATTATGAAAGAGACTTGGTAAGTCTTGTGATCCCTATTCTTTATTTCAATTATGGTATAGTTGTGATTACGTCATGATGTTGTATTGGAGTATGCCTTGTATTAGGATTTATAGGGTTGGTATGGTGTTGAATCGAAATGTCTTGACTATGGTGTGTGAGGTGTTGGTTAAGATGTAAATGTTATAAAAATGGTGATGATTCACCAATGTGCCTTATTATGAAGTGATATATAAATGTGCTAACCTCACTTATATTAATTGTAATGAAATGACTATACTCATGCAATTCTTATTGAGATATGATGATGATGATGTTTATACAAGGGTTAGACCGTATTACCTACATTAAGCTATGATGATTCATAAAGTCATTAGAGACATTTCCATAAGGGACTCGAGCTTAGCACTGAGTGAACTAGAGTGAGGACTGTCCCTTCCCACATAGCAAAGGTAGGATCACTAATGTACTCTTGAGATTGGAGACTATAATGCATGTAGCATAAAGAGGGTCCGAACTTATCTCCTAGTTCTTGAACTATGTTGCCTCATAGATAATCTCTGGACCAAGGAGTGAGGACTCACCAACCTCAAA